GGGCAGTCTTATTACACGAGATGTGGAAGTTAAACACTTCTTGTGAGGTTGTTATTGCACCATTTGCAGTGTAAAAGAATTCAAATTTCGCATATTGCTAATTCAAATGAGATATTGGTTGCCATGAATGACTAATGGGTGTGGCCTATATTGTAATCTTGACCTGATCATATGTTTGTGATAAATATGTTCATTAATTAAATTATATAAAATTTGTCAAAAGCATATGCTGGAAAATGTTAGAAATCATCTGATGAATAATGTATTCATATAAAGAGTTTACGATAATATTATAAGAATGGCCTCAATGAAAAACAGAAATGTTGTCACTGTGTAAAGAATTCCTTTGAAATAATGCCAAATTATCAATAATCGCTTGTATTCTTGCCAACAGAGATGAGTTATAATAAATTATTGTGTGACTCAATGTTTCGCATGGTTTTTTAATATGAAACTAACTGCCAACAATTTTGCAATATAAAGCTCATAAAGAAGAACATAAATTAAAGTAAAATTAGGAAGAAATTAGAGCACAGCAAAGTACAACTTTTTATGCAAAAGGTGCTCATTGGTCATTTTCCAATTAAATTTTTTTTAAAAAAGGTTTATCTTTATTTAATCAATTATTCAAGAACAAAACCTGATATGGCTGTCATGGCTATACCGGCTTTAATTAAGGTAGATAAGTTATTTATTATATTTTATATATATATATATATATATATTGAAATTTTTATTTTTTGATAGGATGCAGAAGATCATAATCCTTTAATAAGAGCATTAGCGATGAGAACGATGGGTTATATAAGTGTTGAAAAGGTGGTGGATGCTTTGAGTGACCCATTAAGACATTCTTTACGAGACCAAGATCCATATGTAAGAAAAACTGCAGCAATCACAGTATCAAAATTATATTTGTATGATAGATCATTAGTAGAAAGTGAAGGATTTATAGATATGTTGAGAGATATGTTGGCCGATTCCAATCCTACCGTATGTGAATATATAAATATAAATATATTTATATGATATTTTAGTTAACTATTAATCAATCAAGAAAATTTTTTTTTTTGAATGGATGAATGAATGTGAATATTTAACTGGGAATGTATATATATAATTTATTTGTGATAATAGGTTGTTGCAAACGCTGTTGCTGCTCTAACCGAAATATCAGAAAGATCAGATAATATCTCATTAAAATTAAATATGACAATTGCTAACAAATTAGTAACAGCTTTGAATGAATGTTCCGAGTAAATAATTATAAAATTATTATTTATTAGATTTAAATATTTTCCTATCATTATTTATTTATTATCCAATTACTATTATTTTATAAAATTTATTATATAGATGGGGACAAACATATATACTTGAATCTTTGATGTTTTATGTCCCTTTAGAAATGGGAGATGCAGAGATGTTGGCTGAACGTATTGCACCAAGACTACAACATGCTAATTCTAGTGTAGTACTAACTGCAGTAAAAGTTATCATGTATTTAATGAATTACATGACTAAAGAAGATGATATTACAAATATGTGTAAAAAATTATCCCCTCCTTTAGGTAAAAAAATTTTTTTTTAATTTATAAATATATTTATATTTTATTTAAAAAAAAATCTCATATATTATTTATTAGTGACATTACTTTCAAGTGGACCGGAAGTTCAGTATGTGACACTTCGTAACATACTATTAATCATTCAAAGAAGACCAGATGTATTAAGAAATGATATTAAAGTATTTTTTTGTAAATATAATGATCCAATCTATGTTAAATTGGCAAAACTTGAAATAATGTTTCGATTAGCCAATACTGACAATGTCGATCAAGTTCTCTCAGAATTAAAAGAGTATGTAAAAAATATTATTATTATTTATTTTTCTTTAAAAAAATTCTCTATTCAACTTAATATTATTAACATTAACATCGACATTGTTGATTAGATATGCAACTGAAATTGATGTAGATTTTGTTAAGAAGGCTGTAAGATCGATTGGCCGATTGGCCGTGAAAATTGAATCAACAGCAGATCTTTGCATAGCAGCTTTATTAGAACTTATCCAAACAAAAGTTAATTATGTTGTTCAAGAAGTGATCATTGTCATTAAGGTACGTATATGTATATTGATACCGTATATGTATGCATACGTCTTTCATAAAAATAATAAAAATAATTAATTTCATACGTATATATTATGTATTGCATATTATTATTATTATTAGGATATATTTAGAAAATATCCAAATAAATATGAAAGTATAATAGCGACATTATGTGAAAATTTAGATAACTTGGATGAGCCTGAAGCAAAAGCAGCAATGATTTGGATAATAGGTCAATATGCTGATCGTATAGATAATTCTGATGTATTATTAGATGATTTCCTGTATACATTCCTTGAAGATCCTGTAGAGGTAAAATAATAATCATAATAAAATGTGATTATAATTAAATAATAAATATATTTTTATATATTTTTACATCTTTATATATATTTTTAGGTTCAGTTATCATTGTTAACAGCAATTGTAAAACTTTTTATTAAAAGACCTGCAGCAGGACAAGAACTTGTTCCAAAAGTATTAAAATTAGCAACAGAAGATGTTGACAATCCAGATCTACGTGATCGG